AGAGAATGGAGAGAGCATTTGATTTTATAACCAAGCCATTTTAAAAAATGTAACTCCTACCCCATTAATCCATGGCATTTGTGGCACAGTTAATATCGTGTTAATGGTGATTTATTAGTCATTAACACGTCTGTTACGCTACGCTCCGTTTAAAATTTGTCCCAAATAATTGGAGATTAATGGCCAGTTAACTCCGTAAAAATGGACTAATTTTAAACAATACGTAATATTAATAATAGAAGATTGGTTCAGTAAAATTGCAAAATTGCAATCCTTACCATATTCTTCTATTAAAAGGTTAACTTTGAGAATCAATTTCTCATTCACCCCCTACCATTTTTGGCGTATAAATTATCAAAACATTTATCTCATTTAAGAGAACACACATCCATTAATTAACGGTTAAAAACCGTTAGTGGACCTATTGACAAATATACCCAAGTTGGTCTATTTAATGCCTATTAAAAATGCTAAAAATTCCAACAGAAACTACTAAACAAATCGTGCAGATCTATATGACCCATTGCCGAGTAACTTCATTCCAAAAGGAGCATTACACAAAAAAACTTTCATTTAAAATCAAATATTAAAATGATAGCATTGATATTCTAGGGTCGTTAGCTTGTTGCATAAAAAGTATTATAATATGATTTCAATTACATTTATAGTATGTTTGGGAACATGGATTTGGATTTCAAATCCAGATTTGGCTCAAATTCCATGTTTGGGAAACTTAAAAATTTTGAATTTGGATTTGAATCAAATTCTTCTCATTTATAACAAAGCTTAATTTTAAATCGACGCACCTCCCCTTGTCATTTGAAATTCAAAATTTCAAATTTTGGAATTGAAATACATGAATTGAAATGAAATCCTAGTTTCCAAACATTACCTTAATCAATTTATTGGATTGTCTATTAAGTTTTCGTACACAAGTTTATTCTTGCCAAATAAAATTGTGATGATATTTTCTTCTCACATTTCAAAGTAAGAAAAGTAATATTTGTGAATCCATTTTCTCTATAATTTAACCATATAAATATATAATAATTATTAGGCCGGGTTTTTTATATTTTACAAAAGATCTAAATGCTACTCCCTCAACCTGAAGTTAACACTTCGAGTTTGACTCGACACGGTATTTCAGAAGAGTGAAATTTTATAGTTGAAAATGAATCTAATTTAGAAAACAGTTTTACTATTCTAATTTTATGAATCTCTCAAGAAGATGCACTTTGATCTACTGTGAATACATGTGATGCTTGATATATGCATTGTGTTTTTTCTTTAGATTTTATTCATTTTTTATTATATTAATTTATGAATTAGTGAATAATGACTTATGAGTAACTTAGTATGTAAAGAGAAACCATGAGAATGCATTGTATTTAATACAAGTGTAAGGGGTTGTTTGGCAACTTCTGAATCGGTAAGTGCTGAACTAGTAAGAGCTCTGAACCATTAAGTGTTGAACCAGTAAGAGGTCTGAACCATTAAGAGCTAGTATATTGCTTAACTATTTAGAGGCAAATGTCTGATCAATTCAGATAAGAGGTCTTAACCATTCAGACTCTGTATAATACTTAACCATTCAGAGGCAAATCTCTTAACCATTCAGACATCTGAACCATTAAGAGGCTGAAACAAACAGTCTGAACCATTAAGTGCTGTACCATTCAGACATCTGAACCATTAAGAGGCTGAAACAAACAGCCCCTAAATGTGTAATACAGATTTGAGAAATATTTTGCCTAAGTAGAATCTGATCCCAGGTCTGTAGTCCGTACCTCTCTACCATTTCAGTTTACATGCAACGATTTGTTTTTCAAAGAGATTCTTATCTTGCACTTTGACCAATAATATTTGCATTTTAATCTTTTTTTAATACACATTTTAATATTTTAAAAATTGCTTCATTCAATTCATCATGTTTTTAACTAAAATTCAAATATATCACATAAATTTTAAATGCATCATCATTCACAAGAATTTCACTATCTAGAACATATATGTGCATCATATCTGTGTTAGGAGAACTTCATCATCTCTTGAATGAATTTTACTTTGTTTTTCTAAGAATGCACATGAATAGAATACATTATCTTTTACCATATTTCTAAGAATGCATTGCTTTATCATGCAAATGCATTACCTATATCGTGATAATGCACAATAACAAAATCTCATGCACACTTTAGATATTAAACTTTATTAACAATGCAAAACATGTCACAATACATCTTGAATTCTATGTGATGCATAACTACAGTGTATACGAGTACATAAATTCCATCCCAACTATACTTTGAAGTTTAATTAATATAATATAGTATTAATATGGGTTGTAAACTTAAGATAAAATTTCATCCCATAAAAAATAAACATTGAATTGCAACAACTGAAATTACAAAAAAAGATATTCATTCCAAACATGATAATGCATATATATATTCCACAAGATTTCAAATAATTTAATTCTATATTTAACACACAATAATTGCTACTACACATTAACGATTATGCACTATTCTCTTTATGATTATGCACTTTGTTAATCCAATGTATACAGTGTACTACTCCAGCAAAAACAAAAAAATTCAAAAAAAAAAAGTTAAGCCCAACCCTACAAATAGGCCAACGAAATTCTTACCAAAAAAATATGACAATAATAAAGAAAAAACTTAACGCAAAAACTGGGAAATATTGGAGCTCAAATTTGCACTGTGAATAGTACCGACGAATCCCAAATCATGCTCAAAACTCAAGAATTAATTGTTGGAATAGAATTCCAACTTAAAATTACTCAAGGAGCACACCCACAGCAACAAAAATCATCCAAATCCACCCACAAAATTGAAGGGAACGGTACTTTAAAGATTCGGCGTGAATAGTTTTAAGAAGAACAACACCCCAACTTTCTTAGAGAGAGAAAACTCTTGCCAATTAAGGGATAGAGGGCGCAAGTCTTACGGAAGCTGAGTAACTACCAAATTATGTGAAAGTACAATACTAACCCACAGCGGAACATCATTTCATTCATTTCATTAAAAACTCGAGATCCAATCAACTTTGGTTCAATGACCAAGATTCATTCTTATTTCTTTCATTAAATCTCATTCTCACCTGAACATATATATATATATATATATATATATATATATATATATATGCATATGTCTCGGAATTATTCTACAATTTTAGCGTGGTACAACTCACCAATTTCGTTGAGCGCGTAGTTTTGCAATTTTGTTGGGCTAAACATAGGTAGCAAGAGGATAATTACGGAACCACTTCCGGAAGGTATTGAATAAGAGGAGGTGCAGGGATTGCAGACAAATGTTTGATCATCAGTATTTTTATTTGAGTCATTATTTAATGGTTGTTGTATCTCTACTTTACTTTAAAAAATATTTTTAAATGAGTTATGATCTATAGTTTGTAATTTGATGTTGATTAAGCACTTGTCATTTTCAAATGTCCATTAAGATTTTATTTAACTCCATTTCACCTTAATATGTATATGTGTAATTTTGGGTTATATGGGTTACGGTGTTACATGTATTAAATTTAAAAAGTGTCGAAAGAGTGTGTGTCACAAAAAATTATAAATATATAACTGGTTTTGTTTTAAGATAAAGTGTGTGTGTGTGTATATATATATATATATATATATATATATATATATATATATATATATATCTAGACACACACGCACATATAACTTTTATTTATGTAAAACTATTAATTCATGGTCAAAGTTAGCTAAGTAGTAAAACTAAAACAAATAATTTGGGGCAAAGAAAGTACTAAAATTTTTAGAGAGTTTTTTTAAACAAATAACCTTAAATACGAGGTAAACATAGTTTTTTTCTTGAAATTGAGTGACATGTTTTTATATACTCTCTCCATCCAAAAATAAAGCACGTTCAATTTATGATATTTGACGGTTATTATTTTAAAATCAATAAAAATAAAAATTGGTGTAGAACTAAAAAATAAAAATTACTCGGAGTATATTTTAAAAAAGTACATTATAAGTTCTACAAAACAAGTTGTCAGAAAATTATTTTATTTTATCAAATTATAGAGGAACAATGTATAACTAAAATAGTGTTAGTTTAACTTGTAAATAGTAACTAAAATTTTTATTTTAGTACGAAAGAAGTACTCGAAATAAGATTTTACATTTTGATAATGTTATACGAAGTACCATATATTATATTTCATAGTGGCATTATTGATATTATAAATTCTATTTTGTGATAAAAAATAAAATTCTTATCAAACCTTTTGGTTCTTTTTTGTTTGTTTTATATGAATACCATTTTTTTTGGGACCATGCTAGGGTGCCACCACATGAGTGTTACCATGGGTGCACCCATGCTTCGCACAGACAAACATGGACGATAATTGTCTGTGCGATACAGACAATTATCGTTTGTATTTGTTTGTGCGAAGTATGGGTGCACCCATGGTAGCACCCATGTGGTGGCACGCTATCATTTTCCTTTTTTTGAGGGACATGAATACCATTTGGACCATGCTACACTTACACCAACAAATATACCCCATTTGTAAACCACAGGTTTGCACAAACATTTCGATGGTTTACACCAACACAAGTGTTGGTGCGTTAATAAAAATTTATACGGAGACAAATGTTGGTGCGTTTAACAAAAATTAGTTTTACACCAACACAAAATGTTGGTGCAAAAGTGCGGGGTACAAATTGGGGTACAAATGTTGGGGGATGGATCCATACCATTTTGGTCTTTCTATTTCGGAAGGATCATGGTACACTTACACCAAAAAATATACCCCATTTGTACACCACAGGCTTGCACAAATATTTCGATGATTTACACCGACACAAGTGTTGGTGCGTTAATAAATATTCACACGGACACAAATGTTGGTGCATTTAACAAAAATTAGTTTTAAGGTGTTGGTGCAAAACTGCCTACAAACCTTTCCTACAGCATAATCCATTTCGGAAATCTACTTGACATCTTTAGGCTATTTTCCGGAGGACCTGAACCGCAGAAACCCCTCGTCTAAGGAGATGGCCGACGTGACTACTTCCGTCATCCATGAAGTCCTAGGCGGGCGGCTACGAAACGTGGACCAGCCAATCGTCGACTACATCATCAACGTACTTGCTGATGAGGACTTCGACTTCGGCCTTGATGGAGACGGTGCTTTGGAAGCAATCGGCGATCTCCTTGTCGACTCAGATTGCGCCTGTGACTACTCTGAATGTCGCACGGTAGAACTTCGATTCGTCACTGTAACTTATTATTTTTAGTTCAATATTTTGTTTTGAGTGGAAGTGCTCTAAAATTTTTATTGTGTTTCTGATGATTTGATTAATGCATACGTAGTTGATTATGTTCGTTGTAAATTTGTGTCTGTTTGTGTTTCTTTAAATAACTGTGAATTGTACTGAAAAGTGGCAATTTTTTTTTATAAATTTATTTTATTTGTATATTTTTATGACAAAGTGGCAAATAAAAGCAAAAATTTGATGCGATTGTGTGCAATTTTTCAATCGGATGAAATTTGGAGTATAACCTGTTTGATAAATTAATCTATTTATGTACTGTGTTTGTTGATATACAGAGCATTATATCTAGAGCATTATGAGTTTTTAAGTATTTGATATTAGGCAAATTCTTCCCTAGACCTAAGGTTCATGCTTATTTGGACCTTAGTGCATTTGTAACATAAAAGAATTGGGCTTTTAGCAAAGAAGAAAATATCCAGATTCAGGCCCATGAAAAATGTGAGAAGGTCTACATTTTAAATGTGAACCTTGGGACCATGTAAGCATTACTCTTGCTATAATATGATGATATTTCAAAATTTCAGTGATTTAATTTAAAAAGGCTAGCACATATAGTTTGAATGTTTTATTACAATTGGAACGAAACTTGCATTACCTTTGTTTGCTTTTAAGCAAGTATAAGCTTGAACAACATTTTAGCTTCGAGTAAATAATGGTTTTAATCAAAATGACAAATTAAGCTTCTTACATACGTTGAAGATTTGGGAAGAAAATTTTAAAATGCATCAAGGGTCTAATGGAAATAGTCTCTTTGTTTTTTTACAATTAAGGTTGCGTACATCTTTACCCAATACTTCAAAGGTTTTGGGATTGAGCTGGGATTGTTGTTGTATAAGTATGACTTTTTCTTTAAATTACAAATTGATTGGCATACAAAATAGTTTATCATGCTGAAATTTTAGAAGTATTTCAAAGTTCTAGCAGTTCAAAAGCAATAAAAGTATTTCAATTATCTGTGTTTGCATCATTTACTCGGTGTTTTATGTCAGATCTGTAGCAAATTGTCTGCGAAATTAGAGAAGCACGGATTGGTGAAACCAAAACCTTCTGTAAGAAGCTTAAAAGCACCACTGAGAATGTTTGATGGGATGGACGAAGAGGAAATTCCTAAAAAGAAGTCTGAAACAACTGATGGCCCTCTGCTGACTGAACGTGACAAAATCAAGATAGAAAGGAGGAATAGGAAAGAGGAGCGACAAAGAGAGGTAATTCATTTTGATGGATCTGTTCTCTTAAATCTTTGTTATGTGAAACTGAGACTTTTTGAAATACTAATAGAGTTATTATCAGTTGGAAATGCTGATGACTTTTCTGTGATGAACACAACTAATGAACACACAATTTTATGAATTTCCAGTTTTACTTTCTAATTTTCTTAGTATTTAGAGTGAAACCCTCTAAATTCGTTTGGGAACTGTTTCTTGTAAGTTTTAACCAACTATTTTCATTCCTCTGTCATACTACGGCCTCATTCTATGCCATATCACTTTCATTGCCATTTTAAGTCTGTTATTATTTTTATGGTTTTGTAGGCACAGTATGAACATCATTTAAGAGAGATGGAAGCTGCCAGAGCCGGGATGCCTGCTGTTTGTGTAAACCATGATGTTGTGGATGGAGCAGCAATCAAGGATATACATATGGTAAATTTCAACATATCCGTTGGTGGTCGTGATCTTATTGTGGATGGAACTGTGACACTTTCTTTTGGCAGGCACTATGGTGAGTTCAATATTTTCTTTTCCAATATGTGCAAACTCTTGCTTCAAGCTACATAATTCTCACTCTTGCTTTTATTTGACAATTGGTTTTACGGTTTTTTATTCTGTTCCCTATTATATATGTAAAATTTTGTCTTTTTTCTTTTGTATGATACAATATCATGCCATATTTATTTAAAATAATAGAAACATAAGTGCTATGATAGAAAATTAACTCTTACCATGTCTAGAACTCCTTTAAATGATGTGCCAATAGCTATTGATTTTGAAGCTGTTCTATGTAATTATATATTTTACCCAAAGCTATGCCAAAATTTGTAGATTCAAATGTTACAACCAAAAAGAGTAGTACTACAGCGTACCGAGGTGGGGGGGTGTTAGGCCCAAACCGGGGGTCTAAACGAGTTGTTATTTTGAGGAGGAATCAAGGAATGATGCAGCTTTGAATTCAGGGTTCTGGAGCAGGATATAATCGATTATGGCTAGGTTATAATCGATTGTGGAGCTGTGCGGCTAAAACCCAGAAACTTCAGGGAAAGTTGATAGTCGATTATCAGTATATGATAATCGATTATTGGAGCTTGCAGTTTATTCCAAGGGAATTCAGCTGGGGACGACAGTCGACTATCAAATGTTGATAATCGATTATTGTGCTTTGCAGCAGACGCCAAGAAAGTCCTGAAGGGTGAGATAGTCGATTATCTGGAAAGGATAATCGATTATTGATCCCTGTGGGTGTTTCAAAAGAGGACTGATAATCGATTGTTAACAAGGTTAATCGATTATTTGATATATTTTCTGGGAGCGAAAGGATGGAGTTTGTGTGGGGAATGGCTGGAAAAATATGGAGATGATGAAAGAGTTCTTTTGGGTATTTTTAATGGAAGAAAAGGGTAAGATTAAGAGGAGAAATGGGGAGGTATGAAATGGTAGAAAATTAGGGATGGATAAACCAAGTTGGTGTTCAAGAGATATTACACACTCTTATCCTAACTTGGGGCTTGAATCTAGAATTTAATTAAGATATGACACACTTAATCAAATATCTAGAACCTAAAACTCACACTTAAGATAATCACTCTTAAGATATAGAATTAGGAATTTGGCTAAAATAGCATCACACTATTTTATAAATACTCAAAGAGTAAAATGTTTAAATATTCAAAAGATTGTGTTTACAATGGCCATAGGGCCTGATTATATAGGGAGAGGGGAAGGGGGAAATACATAGTACAAAACATGAGGAAACTTCGTGGAAGCAACTATTTCAAAAACATGGGATAATACCCATTGAATCATGTCTCCAAAGTGGAATAAAATTCAGAGATGGGGCTGGGGTTGTGGGGTTTTGAGGTTTGGTTTGTAGTGGTTGTTTCCTGGTTTTTTTAAGGCTATTATTTGGGTAAAAATGAGGGGTTGTGTTTGTCCAATAAAAGGGGACAGGGCTGGGCATTATTAGGGGTGGTTTTGGACATATGGGTTTGGGTTATTGTGAGGAAAAAATGGGCAGGAATGAATGGCTAGTGGTGGGTCAGGTTTTTGGCCTTTTGTGGGTGTTTATGTTGGGATTGTGAGATTTAATTGGCCAGGAAATAAAGGAAGGAGAGAGGGTTTTATTTGTTTATTGGAAAGGCTTAAAAGAAGGAGAATAACAACAAACAAAAGGTTTTGGTTCACACATTCTTATTTTGGCTAAAATAAGAGTAGGAAAACTTTATTTGGAGAAAGGAAATGTTTTTGGATATTCAGGGTTGGGTGGGGTGTTGGTTCGGCCTAGGGGGGGTGTAGGACAACCACGGTGTCGGTTTGGGCTTTGAGATAAGGCAACGGAATGAATTTGATCCAAATAACGTCGCCACACTTCGGCCTCATTCTCTTGATCCGCCTGCCCTTTTGTGGGCTACGGAAAGTTTTCGTCGATGCTCTCGGATATCTAATAGGGGGGGTTGGGGTTTGCTACCTCCTTAATGCATAATCTATAAGTATGTAGACTTTTATATGGTAGGTACATATTCTGTATGTGTTAAGTATAATAACTGATTTCATTTTTCGAAATTCATTACGTAGTCGATTCAAAGTATGTATGCTTGGTGTCAACAAACTTAAACACAAAGGTTGTCCAAAAATGCAATATTGGAAGTATCAACAACAACATTACCCTAGTGCCTCAAAGGCTCCCGCCCATTGCAGGGTAAGAGGGGGGGGGTCGGATGTACGCAGTGTCGCATCGCAGTCTGACCCCTATGTTTAAAACATAGAGCGGTTGTTCCCGGATGAGCCATGATGAGCAACGAAAGTTGCATTGACTAAATGCTACTAGAAGTGCAGACAGTTTAAAGAAACATTTTGGTTTTTCCATCACACCCATCAATGGAACTACTGAGGGAAAAATGTTTAAACCATCCTTACTTTTGATATCATCAGTTTAGGCGAGTCCTTAGCTTATCTTGCACCTATAACTTATACTCCTGTCTCGGTGTTTTTGTCCAGTTTCATTTTGGCTCTTGGACCAAGAAAACTATAATATGACCAATGTACCCTTGCTTACCACTTAGGCCATGTTCTCTTCACCTGATTTGAATGGTTCTGATCAGATTGGAATAAGTCTGGATCTGAATGTAGTTATATTTAAAGTTGTTTCTGATCTGGTCTGAATTGATTCCAGTAAGAATAAGTAATAAGTAATAAGAATAAGTTGAAGAGAACATGGCCTTACACAAATTGATCCCTGTTTTTGACTATCTATCAAATACGGAGTACAAAATGCTCTTGTTAATCAATAACTTATCACGGACACAACTCAATTTGCTATTGATAAATTGTTCATCAATAACACAAATCAAGTGAAAACTTGCTTTTAAAAAATCTTTCGAAGATCAGATGTATCTATAACCAAAAAAAAAAATTTAAGTGCAAACAAGTCACAAAAAAAAGAGAAAAATTGGATCCACCATCTACTTCAATTTGATTGAATCGTGACAGGAGGGCACCATCTTTGACGGAGAAAAACTTAAATCTATTGCTATTGCATCTGTGGATGCTGGGGAATAGATCTCTAAGCGAGAAAAGCTTGGGGATCCATTGTTTATACATTTTTGGCTCAAGGACAGACCTGCGACTGATAAAAGCTTAGATCTAGGTTGCTGCACCTGTACTTGCTGAAGGAGAGATCAGCAATTGAGAAAAGTGTGGCTCCAGCACCATCTTCATCAAATCCGTAGTTTGATTCATCCATCACTCCATGAGTAACCTTCATCTGATGGGTTGGTAGCTGTTGAAAAGTATGACGAATTGACGATGAAGGATTTAGAGTGAATTATTGAAACAAGAAGGAAGAGAATGAATGAAGAGATTGTGGCTTAGTCTCACGAAGAGAGGACAATGATAGAGAAAAAGGGAGACGTAGTTGGGGGCAAAAGGGTCACTATAGGATATTTAGTTTACCATATAAGGAAAGTGGACAAATACACTGGGACTACCGAAAAGGGAGAAGTGGATAAAATCATTGGTTGTTAACTTTTGATCCTTATTTTTATATTTATAAACTTAATATGCTAATATGTGAAATCTCGTCTATCACACATTAAGTGCATGGAGTACTCACGCCTTAACTCCTTTTCTTATGATGAGTGATGCACACACATCCTAAACAAATCATGAGATTTAAATCATTTAAGTTTGTGATGAAATGTGTGAAGGTAAGGTGTTCGGTTAGTTTTGTCTCTGAATGGGCTATATCGAATCGAGCACGGCTTCTCATACCACTGGTCCCTTTGTTAATCATGCTGAACTATAGTTGAATTTAGTAATCAAAATCAATTTTCTTCATTTCTTGCACTTTTGCAATCCTATGATGTGTATTCAGCACTTAAGATGCTGATCCTGACCTACACAGGCCTTGTGGGACGGAATGGAACTGGGAAAACAACATTCCTTAGGTACATGGCTATGCATTCCATAGATGGTATTCCCCGGAACTGTCAGATCTTACATGTGGAGCAGGAAGTTGTTGGTGACAATACTTCGGTTTTGCAATGTGTCCTCAATTGTGATGTTGAAAGAACTCAACTTTTGGAAGAAGAAAGTCATCTACTTGAATTGCAGGTTGAAAACATTATCTTTGTAATTATTTTTTGACACATTCTATGGACTAGTCTTGCAGTTTCCTTTATTGTGTTTGTTGCCCATACAACCTTTGAAATGCTTGAATGGTTTCTAGAGAGATATTGACCTAGAAGGTGAAGTTGGAAAGGGCAATGGGGAAACAGACAAAAATGCTATTGCACAAAGACTTGAGGAGATATACAAAAGGCTTGAGCTTATTGATGCTTACTCTGCCGAGTCACGTGCAGCATCCATCCTTGCGGTCAGTTCTTAGTACCAGATGATTGTGTTTTTTGAATTTATGTTTTGTGAATCTTTCATGCTTATCATGCAAGCAACTTGTAGATCTGGTTCTTCTATAGAACCTCAAATGCATGTGGGTTGGATGTGGATCTAACTTTTCTCAGATCATCAAAGATTTGAAATGTATCTGGGTCTGCCCTTTTTAAGAAATGGGACCACTAAAAAGCAAGGGCCAACAGTTTTAATAGCTTGTGCATTGGTTTGAATTCATCAGAATGATATAAAGTTTCATTGAATCCTATTGTATATGATGTGTTTCTTGAAAAAAAGTTCATCATTTTTCTATAGAGCTATTTGGCATGGCCAAATGGCCAATTTTCATTCATGAATTTATATTCTTCAGGGCCTCAGTTTTACCACAGAAATGCAAAAGAGGGCTACAAAAACCTTCTCTGGAGGATGGAGGATGAGAATAGCACTTGCACGAGCATTGTTTATCGAACCTGATTTACTGCTTCTTGATGAACCAACGGTTTGTTATATTTCATATTTTCCATTAAAAGCTCGTATGTGCACTAAAATGTCATATGCAAGGTCAAACTATGCAAGCTCTCGCTTTCTTCGTGACAGAATCATCTTGATCTTCATGCTGTCCTGTGGCTTGAGTCTTACTTGGTGAAGTGGCCGAAGACATTTATAGTAGTTTCCCATGCTAGAGAATTTCTGAACACTGTATGCCCTATGCTTCTATGCTTACCCTTACAATGCCAGATTGGTTTTTGTTTGATATGTAAATTATTTCAATTAGCTTGATTTGATGTTTTTCTGGGGGCTTCCTCAAAACATACACATAATTGACATTATCTTATTCAGGTTGTCACAGATATTATTCATCTTCAAAACAAAAAACTTGTTACCTATAAAGGAAACTATGATGCATTTGAGAGAACTAGAGAAGAAAAAATTAAGAACCAACACAAAGCAGTTGAGGCCAATGAACGCTCCAGGGCCCACATGCAGGTATGCGTGCTTGCTAGTTGATACACATGTTTTTTTGGGCGGGGGAGATTTGTGTTTTTATGTAATGTGTACCATTCCTCTTTTAATACTTGCATAATATTATTGGTGAGCCCGGTCTATCACTCAAATCCCACTAAAGCTAACTGTACATTCAACAGTGTGCAAACACAAATACGAACAAACAAATAACATTCTACGACTAAGTTCTACTTCATTTTGATTAATAGTTTTATATTCTTTTCGATGATTGATGACAGACATTCATTGATAAGTTCCGCTACAATGCAAAGCGTGCATCTCTTGTTCAATCTAGAATCAAGGTACTCTTCAGCTCTTCTACAAATTTACAAACTCCTTACTTTTTTATGATTGTTCACATGAAAGTACTGTTTATGACTTTGTCACCTGGTAACCTTGCATTATAGTACAAACATATGCGTTAATCAATTTTTGAGCAGTAGATGGTATGCGTGTAATGCCCAAAGTTTTAAAAGGAGGCGGTGGGGAAAAATTCCCTGAAGTGTAAGCCCTAGAGGCAGGACGAGGCTTAAGCCTCAGTTCAATTTGAAAAAAAAAAGCTAATATAAATATTCCAAGGAAAAACATAATCTAAAGGCTTAAGTTCCTGAAATTTGAAAAAACTAATTCCCTATCCTAATTCTTAAAATACAAAATAGAGAATTACCCTAAAAATAAAAAATAGTACTTCGTAGCATAAAATGCATTCACAAAGCCTTCAAATCCGTTTTTAAATCCGTTACTTTATAAATTAGTGACCGAAGGAAGCGGTGCGTGAGAGAAGCTGCGCTAGGTTGACGTCTTGACGATAAACGGTAAATATAGCATAAATCATCAAGTGAATACAATGTACGAATACAAGGCATCGGGGCATACCCCTATTACATCAAAGGCAAGTCATGCCAAACAAACAAGGAAAACAACGGACTAACCTAGGCTACTTGCTTGCCCAATATCTTGCATTGCTTTAACACAATACCAATTCTCAATAGCATCCAACAGCGCACCATACACATCACGAACGACTCTGGGGTTGCCCGCAATAATATCACTCTAGGGTTGTGGTCAACTTTAAGCAAGGCTGCTTTAAGGAGACGAGCGCATGCTCGTTTTACCTTTAACGATCCTGACATCCAGCATTGGGGTCTTTAGCACAGGTTCTTGTTTCAAAGATATCACCTTCTCCACAAGTTCCTCAGCTTGAGACTCCTCCTGTTTCGGCCTAACTCCTGTCACTTGCGTGGCCTCTGATTTTTCCTTGGGGGCTGTTTCCCTCTTCTCCACAACGTCCAAACAATCATCCTTCTTCCCTCCATGTTGTCCCTCCAAAGGCTGGACAGTAAGGGATGGCACGACAGTGTCGATGGCCTCTGTGCTTACCCTCTTACTGGGCTTGCGCTTGGTCTTACGCCTGGTATGTGTTGAAGTCTGTCCAGCTTCCTGCCCATCATAACCAGTAGTGGAACTTGCTATTTTCTGTCCCAAAACAGCGCTAGGATCAGCAGCAGCTTCGCTACTGTCCAGGCAGTCAACCCCTTGGCAGGGTGGGCCTGGTTTGCGCTTTTGTCCAGCCCTACACCGGGATGTTTTGGTTTTCATTACTGTCCCCAACCGGCTGTACAAAGGCTGATTTGATCTGGTCTCATTGTAGTTATAATTAAAGCTGTTTTTGATCTGATCTGGTCTGGTCTGATATGATTATAATAAAAATATGTAATAGCAGAAAAATAAGTTGAATGGAACGCAACCAAAGTCAGCAATGGTTTCCTCCACTTCCCGGCGCATCTTCTTCATTGGTGCAACATTAGGGTGAGGAAGCGACTGTGGTTTTTCACTTTTTTAAAACGAATGGCACAAAGGACATGGCAATTCAAGAAGTTGTGCCTAAACTTTTTGCAGTTATAGCAATAGTGTGGGAGGCCCTCATACACAACCTTTTGAGTATTGCTATCCCTTCCATGTAAATTGACCTTGAAAGAAGATGGGAGCTCTTTCGACATGTCAACTTGGACAACATACGGCAAAAGGTCAACCTTCCCCTTTCCTTTGTCATACGGTCTGTTCTGATGGGTGTTCCCAGTCTTGACCCCAACTTTTCAAGTGCCCCTATGTTTCACATGTGCACATGAACATCTATGAGCTTGACCCAAACATCGACCTTCATGAAGGCATCTGATAGAATTTAGGATGGGGTAGGGATCACTAAATTGGGCTATAAGACACTTGGGCTGAACCATATTAAAAGATTGAATCCAATCGATTAGTTAGTTCAACTCAAGAGCTTATATACCGATTATTTTACTCTTGAACTTCCGATGTGGGAAGCACTCTAACAGCATCAAATTCAAAGCGAAAGCCCTCCATAAGGATTCAAAGTAGATGTGTCTTTCCAAACAGTGAATAGGTTTCATTCCTTAGCGCTTCCTTTCGGTCCTTATCATGCTGAAACTGAAACAAAACCCAGCCTCTATCACGAGGGATGAGCTTGCAATGAACTTGCCAAGATGACATTAGCCCTTCAATGGCTTTGATGCCCGGGAACCGGCCGGTAAAGCATCCAATGAGGCAAAAGCCCAATCAGTTTCAAGAGGATGAAGGTCCTCGGCAGGGATGAAAACCTCATCTCCCACATCCACCTTCCTCAATGGAATCCCCTCAGTTATTTCACGGTTCTTCCTTTAAGAATCAGGATGTGTTGGCAGTGGCTTGGTGTTTGACTGTGGTATTGGCCTCTTTGGATTCATCTTGGCCAAACAAGTGTTTGGTGGAGCATTGTAGTACTCATAAGATGAAGAACAAGCATCAGGCTCATTCACAACCTCTTCCTCAATATGTTCTCCAGCCTTCATACCCCGCTGCACGCTGGTTGATGGTGGTTCAGCACCCCCAGTAGGGGACCTGGGGAGTACGAAGCTTTGTTTCTTCACTGACTGGTGTTCCTTCAAAGATGAATGTGTTTATGTTCTGATTACCCTTCCTCCCTCTGTTTTCTTGTTCTTCTTCAGTTCTTCCCCATAAAGTCAGTCACAACAAGCAAGAAAAAGACAGCAGAGAATGTTCACAGACAGTACAGAGCACCAAGCAAGAACGAAGAATACTTCGCCACCCAGAAATGAAGCACCAGTACTAGTGTAGGTAGTGAAAGCTTAAAGTACAGCAAAGAGGCACCAGCGAGAGGAATAAACAGAAAGAACCTGCAATGGATTGGTTCTCAAACTCGCGCTGTGAGCAGTGCTTGGAAATCCCAATCTCAGCCAAATATCAAGAATCTCTGCTTGGAATGATCAGAAAACTTTAGAATCTGATTAGACTTAGCAAGTCGCTCACTATACCTCAAAATTGGGCTTCAATTTGCCCAAAAACCAGCTGAAATCAGACCTGCGATGTATGAAGGTGAACAGTGACAGCGTGGGATTTTAGGTTCAATTGACTTCAGTTCAGCCCCAAATCAGCAGTGGAAAGCTCTAAATGTGAAAGCCCTCTGATGACGATCCAAAAGAAACAAAAATCATGCAAAACAATCCACAATTTCAAGGGGAATGGCAAATCTAAGGGAGTCGCAGATTACAGAGTCTCATACCTTAGAGAGAGAAAGCTCTCGTCCAAGAAAAAGAAATCCTATCTTATCAACAAGTTTATGAAGTTTTTAAATGTATTCAGGCCCAAGATAATTTTTAAAACCAATAGCTTTGTAAAAAGAACTCACAGTGCCACAAGTGCTAAAATTTATAATAGTAGTGAGGCTATCGCCTCACAGCCTCGTACCGCCTTGGCATGGCAGGGCATACGTCTCACATAACCCTACTGAGGCTTACACCTTTGAGGCTTAGAAGACCCGCTTCAGTGCCTCATTGCCTCGAACGCCTTTTTAAAACCATGATAATGCCATGCATTTAACCAGTTTAAATTCGGAAACTAGTATTGTCTATTTTTTAAATGAGTGAAGAGTATTTATTGAAAGCATAATATAATGACTTCCTAGGTGTCAAAGTAAATACTAGAGGAAAAAATCACTGGCACAGAAAGTTACACAAACAGCATTGAATTCACGACGGCAAATTTCTGCCCATATGTGTAAGAGAGTTCCGTTTCAGTTTCTATTTCTTTGCAACATGTCATTGTTAAATGTTCATTATAAGTTAAGCATGAACAACCTTTGTGTTAATAATCTAATTATGTTTTTTGATGTAGGCATGTAGCCATGCTTCCTACTTACTGATCTATTATTTTTATCAATAACCGCACATTTGGAGGGGGC